GACCCTGATGCGAGGTTCGATCCCACACACCGCGAGATCGTGACCGGAGCCGAAGTCGGGCGCTCAACCGACTGAGCCACCCAGGGGCCCCAAGTCTTCATTTTCTGACCGTCCTCGTAAGGAATCCTGTATGGAGATCCCTGAGACGTGCAGGCTTGGAGTGCATCTGAAATATGCTGAATGTATTTATTTTAAATACAACGTTCTTAGAAAACGAGCCGTATAAAAGGACTGGTCTATACTAAGTTCTGTGCCTTTGTTGTGTAACTGCAGTCACACAAAAATTGTGTCTGTCCCTTTGTACCACAAGCAGATCTTTAGTGATACTCTGCTATCAGCATTTTCCTAGCCACGTCCACAAGCAAGTAAAATTAAAGCATCCAGACACCGAATCTGTCGCTCTTTCCGGAGTTGGGCTCTTCTCTCGCTGTGCCCAATGATTTCACACAAGATAGGTAGCCTGGATGTTTCCGTGTAAAACCCGTAACTATACTCTCAGCTTTTTAGTAAGTCTGTTGTTTCATCCTCGATGAAATAAACAAGACGTTTCTGTGCCACTCACAATGTGTGCAGCCAGAAATACAGACGACTGGACTAGAAACTTCCAAAATTCTTTATAATTCTAACTCCCAACAGGCACACCGAATCCATTCTATAGCACTTTGTGCAAATGTTTCTCCACCAACTGTATCAACAGCAAAATGTTGTAAGTTTCGCTGTCGCACATGTCAATTCACATTAAAAAAAATATTTGAAATATCCATTTTTGTTGTCTTCTATCAGATTAAATGCTGCCAGCCTACAAGTTCAGTCTAGGGATCAGAATCTCTTAAAAAAAAAATCACACAAAAATAAATCTGAATCTATTTCCATGAAAGCCTTATAGATATTACTTTTTATTTAGGTTTATCTATTTTGAGAAAGAGAGAGCGTGCACAGAGAAGGGGCAGAGAGAGAGAGACGGGGGGGGGGGGGGAGAAAGGGAGAGAAGGGGAGAGAGAGAATGAATCCCAAGCAGGTTCACTCCACGCTGTCAGCACAGAGCCCGAAGCAGGACTTGAACCCATGAAGTAGGAGACCATGACCTGAGCCAAAACCAAAAGTCAGACATTCAACTGACTGAGCTACAATCTTCCAGAAAATTATGAACGCCTGTATTGCCCTCCATCCCATATCTGTTTGCCTAGTGCATTAGTCAGGGATTTTCAGGGAAACACAACCCATTAGATACATACTATCTATCTCTGTATATATAAATAAATTTACAAAAATATCTGTATACCTATAGATATATAGGCATAAATAAAAACCTTGGAAGGAGCCAATGTCGCAATTCAAGTCTGAAGGCAGTCCGCTGCAAAATTCCTCTTGCTCAAAGGCGATGAGTCTTCGGTTTCATCCAGGCCTTCAACTGATTAGATGAGGCCCACCCACATTATAGCAGGCAATCTGTTTTACTCAACACCCACTAATTTAAATCTTTTTTTTAATATGAAATTTATTGTCTAATTGGTTTCCATACAACACCCTGTGCTCATCCCAACAGGTGCCCTCCTCAATGCCCATCACCCACCCTCCCCTCCCTCCCACCCCCCATTGGCCCTCAGTTTGTTCTCTGTATTGAAGAGTCTCTTATGGTTTGGCTCCCTCCCTAACTTTTTTTTTCTTTTCTTTTTGTCCTTTTTTTCCTTCCCCTCCCCCATGGTCTTCTGTTAAGTTTCTCAGGATCCACATAAGAGTGAAAACACATGGTACCTGTCTTTCTCTGTACACTAATTTCAATCTTAATCTCATCCAAACGCCCCTCAAAGGAACAGCCAAAATAATGTCTGGCCACATATCTGGCTACTGTGGCCCATTAAGTGGACACACAGAATCACCCACCACACCTCGGTTAGACAGCACCTACTTCAAGTTTTGTTTACCGACACAATTTCTCGTGTTTCATGACTGGGATCCTCTCTTCTGGACGTGCGCCAGTCTGTCTGTCCCTCTTCATGTGAGAACCCAGAACCACACGTTCAGTTGTGATGTGGTCGGCACAGAAGGCATGAGAGGGCTCAGCCCTTGAGTATTAGCGTTTGGCACAGCTAATGAGGTTTGACAGTACTTTAATAAAAGCCTCTAGTATATGTCTTCTGCCTGGATACAGATCTTCATAAAAGTTGGATGGGCGTGCCTTTTAGTCCTCCTAAAATGCATACCACTTACTTGCATACAAAAAAGCACATACAACCCTTCTTTCCATCTTCCTAGTTTATTTTTTTTATCAACGTCAGGAAGTAAGCTTCTCTACCCAAGCTTCACGATTGTTTCTCGTTCTGTCGTTTCACAACTATGTGCTTTTCAAAGCTCTTTGGTATCTGGTCCCAGGACCAAATCTTGATTCAATCTTCACTTTCCAAAGCTGATTCTGCTCCCCAGAGCCCCCCGTCAGGGCCCCCGCCCCCCCATCTCCTTGTTTCCTGACCCCTTATAAGCACATCTTTACAGTGAGTCAAATGAGTCCTTGTGCCTCACGTAAGGACCTTAGACTTCTCTCACAAGACTCACAAACACCAGATACCCAAGCTTCCCTGAAACCTCATTTAAATGTCTTGCTCTCTCACTCCTTGCTGTGGAGGCAAATCGCCCATATGTAGTGATTTAATCCCCCTTAAGAAATATTCATCATTGTGACATTTTCATTTTGCCTGGGATCAAAAAGTTGGGAGAATCGTCTTCCTCACGTATCATAACTAATACCATTGATACGAAACCTCAAATTTGCGAAATCATCCAATACTGGACCGTAACATCTATGCTGAAACACTGACAGCCTCAATCTGCCTTTCCGGCAGAATGTATCAGCCTTGTAATTACATAGTCCATTGTGTAATCAGTTGTACCCCCATTTTGCCGCTAGAACGGAACCCCAGGAGGGAAAGGCAGGATTCTATTTTGCTCGCTGAGCGATCCCCTGGTTGACCACGATACCTGCACGAGAGACGCTCAACAGATGGCGAGCATACGTGCGTGACACCCTCGGTCATTCAGGCAACGATGACGGCCAGTGACAGACAGTCAAAATGCTCACTGTTACCCGAGCCCTACTGCTACAATCACCGAGCTTTTCTCTTTTTTAAGTTTTTTTATGTTTTATGTTATCTTTTGAGAGACAGAGAGGGACAGAGCATGAGCAGGGGAGGGGCAGAGAGAGGGAGACCCAGAATCCGAAGCAGGTTCCAGGCTCCGAGCTGTCGGCACAGAGCCCGACGCGGGGCTCGAACCCACACATGCAAGATCAGAACCTGAGCCACCCAGGCGCCCCCTACGATCACCAAGCTTTTAATGAAATGGTTAGCACCCAGGGTCAGTTTCCTCCCCTCTCCTCGCCCAGGTCTACACCGATGAGGAACAGACAAACTACCCCAAGTGAAAGGAATTGGGAAACGGTGGAGAAAAACCAGGGTCCGAGAACAACCTCGACTTGGTTCTCTGCGGAGTGAACTCCCCTCCCATCTGCCATCCCCCGGGACGGCGCACAACACAGGAGCCCCTGGGCCTGCCCCGGACACAGCAGCGGGCAGCTTCCGAAAACGGTTAAAAGCCCCACCGACCAGAGTTCTCTCCCACTTAGGCAGCAGGCAGGGCACAGCTGGTGAACCCTTGTGACCCCGCAAGGCTTTCAAGAACCAGATGCTGCAACAGTAACACAGGCCCTTAATCGTGGGACCGACCTGAACCAAAGCGGATCCAAAGGTGATGTGGTGGGGGGGCTAAGATGCGAAAAGGAAAAGGGAAGGCAGGGGCACGGCAGACACAGCTGAATTCTTAGGGACGCTTCCAAATAAATGCCCTGGGCGTGGCCGCAGCAGCCGTGGCATCAATATTTTACGGAGTGAGCACTTTTGTGCGCGTATCGAGACTCCGCCCTCCTCGCCCGGGAGACCTGAAGCTGGACCCTTTCTCCTAAGATGACCGCGTCAAGCTGCCCCCATCGGACTTGGATGACGACCGGCTTTCTCCCTTCTACCTCGGCAGGAGGCAGCCTTGGATGATGACCTGGGCGGTCTTCCGACTGAACTCGTTCGAGCCTCATCTGATAAATGGAGAGATTTCCTCCATCCAGGGCTCATATGGGAGTTTAGCGAGAGGCAGCGTAAAAAGTGCCCACCTTCTTGCTTGCCACGCGCTAAGCACTAAATAAATAATCGCTCTTGGAAGTAAGGCTGGCTGGATAAACAAGGTGCTGGGCCCCCTCCCTTCCTCGCCCCAAGCCTTAGCCGCAGCTCCCTCCCACACTAGGGTGCAGGACCCCAGTGCCTCTGGAGCACAGCAAAGCCCGCTCTGGGTTATTCTTTGGGGCATGCCTCCTGCTCTTAAATTCTTGGAAGAAGGAATGGTTCCCCCCCCCCAGCACTGGTGTCCCTGGCAGTCTCCTGGTCCTCAATTCTGCCTAAATCGTGCTGACATCTGAAGCACTCAGCCTCTGTGAGCATGGGACGGGTTCCAGTCACTCCTGATGAGTGTCCGTGTTTTTGCTGGCTGTTGAACAGGTTACTCATTTCAATGTTCTGGCTTTAAGGGCAAAGACAAATTAAAAAAAAAAAAAAAAAACAGGTTTAATTCTCCTCATTGAAAATACAGTCGGCCCCTTGAACAACACAGCAGACAGGGGCCTGGCTGACACCCCAGAGCGTCGAATCTCGCACAGAATTTCCGACTCTCTGAAAACTTAACTCCTGACCACCTACTGTTGACCAGGAAGCCTTACCGGTAACGTAAACCACTGACTGACGTGTGTTTTGTGTGTTGTATTTATACACTGTATTCTTACAATAAAGGAAGCTAGAGGAAAGATTATCAAGAAAATCCTAAGGAGGGGCGCCCGGGAGGCTCACTGGTTAAGCGTCCGACTCTGGATTTCGGCTCAGGTCACGATCTCGTGGTTCATGAGTTCAAGCCCTGCATCAGGCTCTGCACTGACAGTGTGAAGGCTGTTTGAGATTCTCTCTCTCTCTCTGTCTCTCTCTCTCTCTCTCTCTCTCTCTCTCTCTCTCTGTCTCTCAAACAGAATATCGTAAGGAAGAGAAATACAGCTAAGTACCGTACTGTATTTAGGGACACTAATTCACCTCTAAGTGGGCCCGTGCAGTTCAAACCCCAGGGTCAACCGGAGGGGAAATCTTTCCCTCCTCTGCTTTTTCTTACCAAGTTCACCTCGGAAAAATGAGCCATTGTGAGCATTTTCTCATCTCTCGGAAACGTATCCTTTTGAGGACGAGATGGGCCTTTTGTTGCTGGACCGTCTTCCCAAGGAACGCGGGAGCCATCTTTCCGAAACGCAACCGTCAAGGGAGACGCTCCCACCCTCCCGGTTCCCGCGGGGGGACAGGGGCCTCCGGTGAGCTGGTGTCAGCCTCCCTCCGGCACGCACACTTCCTCCCGTCCCAGAGACAGGCGGCTCCTTCCAACAAGCTGGCGGAAGTGGTCACCCCAGTTTCCAGGTGGGTTAGGATGCACCGTGTCTGACCGGTGGTGCCGTGAAAGGCCGCGGACTCGAGGACTAGTTCCCGCGTATCAGGAAACACGTGTGACGCAGGCGGTGTCGGCTGGACTCCCTGGGTGGTCGCGTTTCTTCTTGAAAGTTCCTCGATTGCCTAGAATACGCATCTCATTCGGGCCTCTTATTCACACGATAAAAGTGGTTGTTTTCCTCCACTATGTCTGTGGACAACATTTCTGGGCTGGAAGATTCTGTTTTCCATTCTATTTCTCCAGCACATTCCACCCGGAACCTTCCAGAAGTCAGCTGGATGGCATTCCTGCTCCGTACTACACCGCGGCACACGTGCCTCTGCTTGTCTGTGTTTACGGGCAAGGAGCCCAAGGGAGGGGGGATGGCGTATAGACCGAAGGAGTCACAACGGCTTTGCCAGTAAGAGGCATGGGTGCCAAGGCCCTGGGGCATCCTGACTCGCCTCAGCAGGGCTACCTTCGGAGGATGAAACGTTCCTCCTCCAAGCGGCACAGGGCAGTCCCTAGGTCAGGGACAACACAGGCCTGCATCTCTTTGCGGTTGGTCTACAAGCAAGACTGAGTTGAACGCTACCATTCCCAGCCTCCTTCCAACTGGTCCTGGCACAAGTGTGACGAGATCTCATCGAGAAGCTGGTTCTTCATGATCACCCCTGACCCATCTTTGTGAAGCCCTCTCCCCACCTTCCTGTGTTGGCCCTCTCCCCTCCTTCCTGTGATGGCCCTCCCCTCACTTTCCTGTGATGGCCCTCTTGCCTCCTTCCTGTGATGGCCCTTTCCTCTCCTTCCTGTGTTAGCCCT